CCCCAAAACCCCAAAACCCCAAAACCCCAAAACCCCATCTGACTCAAGAGTGATTGAAAGTATATCATTTCACTTTTCTGTAAAATTGACTAATCTTTCTCCGCATACAGTTGTTCGCATTCCTGTTTGGTCTTTCCTTTGGTCTCTTTGACAAATGCCCACACAAAGGTGATTGTGAACACCTGAATGGCTGCAAGACCGAAGTATACACCTTGAGGAGTCAAATATTTGAATGCTTTTAGTTGAGACTAGCTAGCTTACCTAGATTTGTGAATGTACCAAAGATCCATGTAGAAATCATATTCAGTAGAGCAACAATAGCTCATCCACGACTGTCTAAAACCTCTGCTCAGTATATCCATAATGCTTGGCCGTAACCAAAATTGAACATGAAGATGAATACCAATGTGAATGTGATGATTCCAAATTGGCTTCCCATTCAGGCTCAGATGCCAGAAAGTGCGAGCGAGGCTCACAGTATTACCTCACTAAATTGAATGAATGTAACTCTTCCGAAGTATTTTTGAAGTGGGATCGATAGCCCGGTACCTAAGAAGCCTACGATACCAACGAGCAATGTGCCGGCTCTAGCACTGATAGCTGCATCTAGTCCAATGCGGCCTATTATAATAAGTCTTTAGCTTACCGACTGTAAATATCTCACTTGAAAAGAATATTACTGAATTGATCCCGGTAAACTGATGCATTAAGCTAAGTACTGAGCCGATAAGTAATGCTTTCTTGTATCCTGGTTGAGTGTCCTGAACTTGCTTTTCATGGCATGAACTCACAAGGCTTCTATATTTTGAAAACTTGAGCTACTCTTCCTCAGAGGGCTTATTTTGTTGTGATGAGTTATTATTTTCCTGCACCTCATTTAACTCAATATCTTCTTCAGGCTCCCAACCCATGTAAATTTTTCTCATAGTTTTGTAATAATTTGATTTATCTCCCTTCTTTAGGTAGAATAAAGGAGTTTCATCTTTGAAAATGAAGAAAAGAAGCAAGAATTGGGTAAGAGCAATCCCAAAAGGAAATCCAAAGATCAATCTCCAGTTGTGAGAGTCTACCACTGCTTTAGGTTCAAGATTAGTGGTTGTTGGTGTCTCTAAAGAGAATCAGAGACTATTAAGAGATCTTACCTGAGAGAGGCATTATGTAAGGCACTATGAATGCAATGACTATGCCTGTGCAAGCTCCCATCTGGTTGAACACTCCTAAAAATCCTGATAGTTCTGGGGGAGATATTTCTGATATGTACAGTGGGCACAATGTCGCGTATCAGCCAATACAAATGCCCATGCACAATCTTCCAAGCACCATAGCGTAGAAGTTGAACACCAAGCTTAGTAATGTTGCTGCCATGAACACAGATGCAACAACCAATAACGAAAAGCGTCTACCTTTGTTAACAATGAGGCCGATCATAACACTACCAAAGATGGCACCGAAAGGAATGAGGCCTGAGACAAGAGAGTTGAAAAGGTTTTTGTCATGGATGACTTGTTGTCCTTTCTCCGCATATTTCTGATATGTAATATCTGTAAATGCATTGTAATATCCAAATCAGTAGCCTAGCATTCAGAAGCCGAGAGCCACTGTCATTGCCATAGTTATCAAGTAGGGTTTGTTAATGTTTTGACGCACCATTTTCTATAATTATTAAATAAGGGTTTAACTACGAATTTGGGGTTTTGGGGTTTTGGGGTTTTGGGGTTTTGGGGTTTTGGGG